AAACTTCTTATAAAAGAATGAATTACACTATATATATATATATATATATATATATAATAGTTGAATTCATGAGTTAATTGCAGCTAGACCACCATGGAAAACCTGGAAGCACTGGACAACCTTTTCGTTCTAGTATGAAACTTCTCAGCAGTGCGTATTCACGATCCGATTCGCAGGATTAGAAGCCAGGACCTGTTGGTCTCGTGTGTGAACGCTTAGCTTGTAGACCAATGAGTTGATATCCAATGATGTTAATGTCTAATTTTAACCAACCCAAGAAAATTACACCTCTTAAATACCCCTTGAAGCCAGTCACTATTGAGCACATCATGATTTTTATCAGAAGAGAGTTTTGTGGAGATTTTAGTATTTTAATAGTTGAATTCACGAGTCTCATATTAAGACGAAACTGCCGTACAGTGCTTCCAGCTTTTCATGTATTCAACTATTAAATCACGAAAATCACCACCAAACCCCATACTAATATATATAATAGAAAATCTTATTTGCTTTTAGTCGATAAGGAATAGTAATGATAGACAAATAATCTGGTAAAATAGGTTCAAACAGTTAACTGTTTATGTATTTTTTTTTTCAGTCAAACAAAACGAAATCAATTCAATGTCACATTCTATTTTTTCTTTCCTAAATGATAACAACAACTTTTAAGAAAGAAAAAAAATCTGATTTGTAAAACTATTAGATTTGATTTCATCATTTCTTTGCTTACTTTTTCTAAATCATTTGGGGATAGTTGTTAAGATTATTCATTTAAATTAAGCAAGAATTCATAACAACTAGTCTAAATAAATGAGATATATTTATGTATCATTCATCAACATTGAAGCTAATGGTTATAATAATAATAACAAGAATAATATTTAGGATGAAAATAAACATCAGAAATTAATCGTTTTTCTTTTTAACGTTTAACTTTGGAATAAACATTATATTTATGTTTATAAATAGAGGTAAATAAAGTTCTCGTTTATTTCTTAACAATAAACAAATAAATAAATGTACTTTTACTGAATTGCTTAATTATTCCAAATAATTTATTGTGAAAAAAAAACTAAGAAAGAATCATTGTTTAGATAAGTACAATCTATTTTGTTTTAATAATTTTAAACTATTTATCAATATAACGTGTTGGTAATAAAAAATGGAAGTGTAGTGAACAAGAACACCAGTAGGAACAATCAAATGTATTTGATACAAAATTACAAGACTCGTTATAAAATCTAACAATCATAAAGTAAATGCCCGTTATAGGGGCAATAATTACCAAGTTTGTATGATTTAACTATTAAGGGAATTAGGGACAGGGAAGGTTGGGAGGTTGGAAAAATCGTTTCTGCATGTAAAGTTTGGGCTTGAGCTCGTGGATTGCCAGATGTTTGCTATAAATTCCCTGTCCAATTGATTACTTAATAAAATCTGCAAATACAAATACAATATTGGTAAAGTAGCTTTAAAAAGAGATCGTATTAAGAAATATATTGTCAATAAGCTCTTATTACAGAATTACACCAATGTGATAATGCTTTCCTTTTATTTGACTTGAAAGAAATACCAATCTGGTGATTTTGAAGAAGTAATTCGTGAGACATTCTTCCTGATTGTATGTTACTTTGTGACAAGGGGTAACAATTAGTGATTATTTATAAATTTTTGACAAATTTCAAAATCATGTATTACGAAAACCCTTAACGTATGATAATCGGGAATCCTGAATGATTAGTCCTAATGATATCTTCTGATTATGAAGGCTCAATACATTTGATCGAATACTGATGGTTTTAATTAAATGATTCCAAATATTTTTAAGGTCAATTACAGTTCTTTTATGTAATACGCAAACAGTATTAAGCTTTTGGTTACTTAAATTAGTTGTCTGCCTAACAGTAATGGATGATATTTAGTTATGTGACAATAAAAGTGCGTAAAAGTTTGTAAGGAGAATAACTGAATGACAATTTCAATTTGTCCAAGTAGACACGTGAACGACTTTAAGCAAAATATAGCTAGTCACTTTGTTGTTATTACTGTAAGGAAAAATAACACAATTGTGAACAACTAAATGTATTTTATATAACATTGTAGAATACCTTGGTAAAATCTGAGAATCATACAGTAAATACTTCAGTTTCAAAATATTCATCACTTGTCTCAGACTTTGTTATTCCTTCATTTCCATACGAATCACTCACCGTTCTCTTTTTATTCCCTTCGATTTTCTCAACCTTCTACCCCCAGGCATTCCATTTTCGATTAGTGGTATATATCACTTATATCTGTCGATATCAGTAGCACACACTACATTACTACATCAATAACTTGATATTCAAATAAAGAAGTAATTTATGGTAATTATTATAATTCCCATATAATCAATCTAAATTAGAATTGCATGTCATGATAAAATGAATTAGAAAGGTAATTTACATTCAAAAAATATTTTTCAACTATAAAGACAAATTGAAAAGAACAAGAACATAGATTTTTAGCAAAACAGCATGAATTCATATTATTTCGTTTATTTATCATCAGTTGCTTATAACCTATGATATTCAAAAATCATAAGTTAAAAAAAATGGGTTCAAATTTTATACATGAAAGAGTTTCTATGGAAATTGTTTCGATTATACATCAGTGTAGTTATAGCAAAGGTGTTAATAAATTTAATTGACTAATTAAAGTGAAAGAACATTCTACAACTCTTGCTACAATCAATATATGGTCGGATCAACTTCTAAAAAAACCCTTTCACGTACATAATTTGAATTTCTTTTTATAATTGTCATTTTAAATATTACAGGGTGTAAGCAACTGATATGAACTAAACGAAATCAAGTAAATTCATATAATTTCGCTAGAATTTATCTTCATACTCTCTTCAAGATGATAAACAGAACTATATATAAAACTATAATGACATATTTTATTTCATGCTTCCAATTTGATTTATATTAGTTCTCTCCTGTCTTAATTTTGATTTAGTTATTATTATTATTATTGTATTCAGTGGTTTATCATCATTTTTCTCTTTTATTTACTTATTTATTTTATGTTCTCATTTACTTTAATTTGGATATCTTTTTTTTCCCAAATACTCAATTCTTGTAAACAGTATCATACTTTAAATTGTATAAACATTTCAATATGTTATTTATTTATTTATTTAAAAAAAAATGTAAGTTAGTTACGTTGACTGTCAAGTGTTTTGAATGAATACATAATACGTTTCTTTGTAATTTTCATTACAATGTAAACATAAATATGCATATATATATATAAATGAACTTAAGAGGGGGGAATGATAAATAGTAAACAATTTTCCATATTGAAATTAATAATTTACTCACTAATGAAGTTATTTAAAGATTATAATAAATTGAATGAATTTAAAGTGTCATAATGTGATACATAGAAGCAAATAAAAAAAATTCTGTTAAATTTACTTATATGCTTTTACTTAAATAAATATTTTTATGTTTACTTCAAATGAAAAAAATATACACTCCCTTCCCTCCTATTTTGTATTTGTTTTGGTAAATATATAAAGATTGGAATGTTGAAAAGGTGGGGTGGGGTGGGGGTGGATACTGTCCTGAAGATGATTTCTTTAACATTTGTCAATTTTTGTTTCTATATATATATATATATATATATATATATATATATATATATATATATATATATGTGTAATAAGAAAAACAAAAACAAAAATGTTTGAGAATAATGTTATTGTTTTCTTAATGATAGTAGATTTTACAATTAGAAAAATTATGACATAAATTGAATTGAAACATACATAAATGTAATACAGATGAGTTGAGATGTATATCCGGTTTTAAAATATGATAGATTGTGTGAAATATGAATACATTTCGATATTTTTAATTAACTAAGTCATTTCTAAATGAATACATTTGTGCAATGAATGTCTTTTTGCATTCATTTACTAGTTACGTCATCAGGTAAATTATTGAAAGTTATTTATAACTTTGGTCTTGTCTGTTTTTATCTGGTTTAATTTTATTGATGATAAAAAACACAGAGTTGTATTTATTTAGTTGGTTACAGTAACTTTTGGGGAATCGATCAGTTTGGATACATAGTTTCGAAACTATGATAGAACAGTTTAGGACAGAGAATAGGTAATGAAAAATAACTCATTATACTAATTAAGTCACATCATAAACTGATTACAAATTAATTGTGAGTCCATATATTTTGAATAGATTATTTAATATTATTAGTTGACTTTGACTATTTGAAGAAAAATTGAACTTGATTAAGAAAATTAAACTATAGTACATATTTCCCAGTTCAGGTTTAAAATAGCCGTCTAAACATTATTTTTTAAATTGAAATCATGAATCGATCGATGTTAGCCTACCATTGAAAACCTGTTGACACTGGATGACCGTTTCTTCCTAGTATGCGACTACTCAGTAGTGCACATGCTCAACACCATACGTGGAATTCGAACGCAGAACTAAAGGTCTCTGTCCTTTGCTTCCAGGTTTTTAATCGTAGTCTAACACTTGTCGATTCATGATCTCAATGAAAAACTAAACAATCTTCATAACCCCTACTGATAAACATCATTTATAGTTCTATCGTCTTAAATAAACTAAGCTATACTTATATCCAATTGATGGTGGGATGTAATTGTGCCCTCATATAGAATACTTTACTCTAGTTATATATATCACTATTAAACATTTTTACAGTTTTAAAAATCGAGCCCTACAAACACATGGAACCATACATAAAAAAAACATTGGAGCCTTAATGTTCAAATCCTTCTTTTTATAATCTAGTTTCGTTCAGTACTTCATTCAACATTAACTAAATAATAAAATTCATTAACTCAAAAGTTTAAATAATATAAATTCTTTACTGATTTATTCTTCAATAAACTATGAATCCATTTTTTTCATTATGATTATACATTTGAACAATCTTGTTTCATATATTTTCATTTTATCTAGGGAAATAGACGATATATCAAGTGATAAGTTACATTTGGATATATGGTAAGTCAAATTAATCAATTAAATAATTTTCATATGGTCACTTGTTTGTTTTTAATGAAAGTATTTTAATCATAGTTGGTAACTGTTACATAATTCAGTTACATCTAAATTTTAATTAAACAAAGCAGTGAATACGATAAATGAAGTATTGTAGTTTTGAGTAGAGCTTTTTGCTGTTGCAAATACTATCTACGGTATTAATTGCTGAAAGTTACCGTAAACTGTACTAGTTTTGAGTCCCGAAGTGAACATTAACTCTAAGATGCAAGTATATCCAGCTGACGAGTCCCGAATAGGACGAAACGCGAGTAAAACTGGATTCCACTGCTTGCCATTACCAATCTTTGCTTAAAAAGCTTGCGACTTAAGGCTGTATCGGGGCGATTCACACAGGATGCACATATACCAACAAGAAACTTGGGCGTCTACGGAGTCCTTCATCCTGTTTAACAATACCCTTTTGAAGACTTTTCCCGGTATTGAGAGAAGAGTAATGCCCTGTAGTTATCACAGTTGCTGAGATCGCTATTCTTCGGTATTTTGACCAGAAGTCCTTCTTTCCAGTCGATTGGTACTTGTTCCTCATCCTAAATCTTATTGAAGAGAATGTGGAGTATCCTTGTAGTTACCGCTACGTCTGCTTTCAGTGACTCTGCTGGAATGTTGTCTGGTTCTGCGGATTTGCCACTCTTGATTTGTCTGATGGCCATGCTGATTTCTTCAATTGTTGGTGGGCCAACATCGACTGGGAGGTCCGAGGGTGCTTCTTCGATATTGGATGGGTTCAGTGGAGCTGGTCGATTCAAGAGTTCTTTGAAGTGTTCTACCCACCTGTTTTGTTGCCCTTCAATGTTGGTGATTACCTTGCCTTCCTTGCTTTTCACTGTTCGTTCTAGTTTACGATAATTTCTAGAGAGTTTCTTTGTTATGTCACACAGTTGTCTAATGTTTCCTTCTCTTGCAGCCTTTTCCGCCGTCGTTGCTAAATCTTCCACATATGTACGTTTGTCAGTTCTGATGTTCGTCTTCACTTGCTTGTTTAATTCTGTGTATTCAGCTTGTGCCTTGGCTTTTTCTGCTCTTGTTCGGCTAGTATTGATTGCTGTCTTCTCAGTCCTCCTTTCTTGAATCATATCCAGTGTATCAACAGTTATTCATTCATTGTGATGGTGCTTCTTGTGGCCCAGAACCTCATGACATGTTGAAGTGATTGCCTGTTTTATCCCTTTCCAGCTGCTCTCCATAGTAATTCCTTTTCCATTGAGATCATGAAGGCCTGGAACTTATTGCTGAGGGCTATCTTGAATTTGTTTAGTTTGTCAGTATCCTGAATAAAGGCCGTATTAAACTTTTGTGATGTTGTCCGCCCCATTGTCCAGTGCTTCTTGAGTTTGAATTTCATCTTGGTGACCAGCAAGTGAAGATCTGATGCTATATCAGCTCCTCTTTTGGTTCCATATCAGTGTGAAACGATTAATATCGAGTACATGGATTATTATAATTCAACTCAGTTATCTAAGTATTAATTTATAGCCTTGAATACTGAAGGTCTCTTAGTTAGGTTCCATGATAAGTTATAAATGCTTACTGATGAAGAGTTCAGTTTTAGAACGAAACACCCTCCCAGTTCTGTAAGTTTTCAAACAGTTCTTCACATGATATAAGTCTACAAGTTACGTCACCTAGGATAATAAATTTGTCGAATTTATTTTTATAGATTTTATAGAATATTTTTGGTATAAATGAATAGTAATGAGTTTTATTTTTATCACTTTCATCTCTACAATTAATAATAGCAAATGCTCATGTTTAAGTTCATTATATTTCCATGTTTCCAGTTTTTTTTGTTTCTTCCGGAAGTATGTCATTCAGTAATAATTAGATACTTGTATACGATAAAGCATTGCATGACCACTCATTGATTAAACATGCATATTTTTAATATTCCCATTAATTTTTTTTCTCTAGAAAAACAAACAGGATTATTATGAGATCAGTAGCATAAATAATATTGATCTATTGACCTGACAACATAAATGAATAGATTTTAGTTGTTAGTGAAAAAAAAACATACACTCAAATCACGTGATAGTCAATAAGTGGAAATTAGACAATATTAAATTTGTAAAGCACTTATCCCCTTTTTTTCATTTGAAATTAAGATTTGTAGATATCGAAGTTTATTTCAATGATATAGATTAGTCTTTCATGATTAAAAGATTATTTCTTAGCTTTTTATCAAAATGTATATATTGTGGTAATCAGGAAACAAAAAACTTTTAAATATTTTGAGTAAAATTATTCAATATAGTAGATGTGAGAAATCCAGCTCTAAAAATTAAGATTCGGCCTATAATATTAATTTGGTATATAGAAAAAAAGATTTATAAATAGACTAAAAAATACTAATAGTTGAGATCATAAGTCAATTGAAGTTAAACTATTATGGGAAACCTGGAAGCACTGAAAAGTTGGGTCTGTTGTGAGATAGTAACTTCCTGAAGAGAATGGAGGACATGTCGCCTAATTTCGTGGATTAGTTGAAGTTAGACATTAACAGCTCTTGTTGCCAATTTAGTGATCTAGAGGTTAAGCGTTCACGCGCGAGATCGATAGGTCTTGAGTTTTAATCCCGCGGGGTGGTATTGTGGATGCGCAATTCTGAGGAGTCCCATACTAGGATGCAACGGCTGTCCAGTGCTTCTAGATTTTCCATAGTGGTCTAGGATCAATCTACTCACGATCTTAAATGTTAACTTACCATAATATCCACGAACAAATCTTTCCTGATATTAAATACCAATGACTTGTACAGCAAACTCTGTTTTTGTATATTATGTGGATCATTTTGATAATTCTTGATTCTTCTGTGAAATTTCAATAAAATATAAGCAGATTAAAATTGGACGTATTTATCACCTAATTACTTGATAAATAATGTTCATTAATGAATTTATGAAGTTTGAAGAAAAGTAGTTTTCGGACCTATATCCTAAGTCTTTTATAACTTGTAAATATCATAGTTTTGTCATTCGACAAGATTCAGTCCTAATGAGTCGTTACTGTACTTGAGAATTCATCTGCTCAAAGAGTATAGGAAATAATATTTTATCTGAGGTCTTGCGTTTGTAACACAAGGTTTACGCACTAAATGAAGTATTGGGTAGTCTCCGAAGTTGAGTAAAATAGAATACTATGACGAAACTCTGTTCAAAGATTTAGGAAATTCACTACATGAATTAACTTTCTTATTTAACCAACTTATAATAGTTAATTTATAATCAAAAGTAGAATAGAAAAACATGTTGTCTATATAGTTTGATTATTAAATGAGATTAGTTATCCACAATTGATTGATCACTGGGTGGTGGTTAATGTCATCTGTATCAGGTCCTTCTCAGAGCAAATCGAATGCTATCGACCAAGTTGGTTATTAAATCTATCTTTTGTACACTTTTAATAATATACAACATTATCATAGGAATGAACTCTGATTGAATAAATGCATGTATTTCAAATAATTCTGAACAATAAGTGTAATACGAATATAATATTGTAAGTGGAAATATAGAACTTTATTTTCCAAAGAAATATCTACTTGATGAAAGCAGTAAATAGTAAAAAAACAAGCGTAAAAAAGCAAGTGGAGTAAAATTATTATTTGGATTATGCTACAAGAATATATGTGGTACCGATGCAGAATTTCATCAACGTATGATGAACTGGATATTCATAACATTTTAAATAGCAGTTCGTAATATATTACAGGATGACTGTTCTTAGATAAACGAGAGCAGATTACCGAAAACTAACTAATGTTTCAGAAATTTCTGGTCCCAAAGTTGATCTCATAAGCGTAGAGTGTAGGTCATTTGTGAATACAGAAATTTTAATGCAGACAGCACGAGATTGTTTCAAATGGGCAATCAATGACAATCAGGTAGCACGGAAAAGACATTTTATAATAGTAGTGGACTATTCAGAATTAAAAATACATGATTTTACCGTGATTTGAATTCGAGAAATTCGGGTCTCGTATCCTTTATTCGATATTTCACTAAGATCAGTTAGTGATGTGTACTGAGTTCATCAATCTTCACGAAGACTCAATAGTAATAACAAGCACATGCTGATATGACTTGTATCATGATTCAATTCATGAAGAAAGAGTGATCAAATGTGGAGTATTTACACACCAGTAACAATGTGAGACGACTAGACAGAGACACTAATAGAATAAAGTTTCACATACAAACCACTGGATCCCAGATCAGTGGTTTTAATTCAGGCGCACGACAGAAAACTGGAAGGTTCGATCCCCAATAGGGTCGTGAATGCATACTGGTGGGAAGCCATGTATAAGGACTAAATGATCGTCTAATTAATCGTGATTTCCAATAATTTTCTAAATGATATTACATACATAATATTACATACAACAAGAAATGACAATTTCATATCTGTAGTCACTTGTTAAGATTAATTATCAACAATCGCACAATCATTTTCTGACATGTTCAAATATAACTTGAACAATTAAATGTATTATTTAGTGTTGTAGATGACTTAGGTCAATTATTTGTTTAAATTAGGTCGCCAGAAACTCAATAAATGGAAATTAGATTTCAAATTCAATTCAAACCGGAAGTAGAATAAACACTCAATTTTATTTTAAGATCTCTTTATTGTCTAAAAACTAAGTGTTTGTCATGACAGGCCCTGAAGTTTGTGAACTCGGCCGTCAGTGACATCAAGGTTGGACACTGTTCGGTTTTGTATTCATAAAATGTAATTGCTAAGCAGTTTTAACTGATTTGCCCTAGTTTTAAATTGAAGTCATCCCTTTATGTATAATGTAAAATGTTATTTATAGACTGAAACGTAAAATGGTTCTCATGAAAAGTATATTATCATAGTTACTTGTATATCTTGAGAATTAACATCATATCAAAGAGATTGAATAGACTCAAATATTTCTGTTTTGGTGGGAAATGAAAATTAGCGTTAACACAACCAGCTATAATACACATTTAACTAAAACTTATAGACTGTAAAGTGATCATTTATAAAAAAATTATGCCGTCCATTATAACATTATCAAACATGGGATAAGTTTGAATAACAGAATAAGAAATTCTGTATCATTGGTCATTTAGATTTTTGATATAGATTTTAAGTGAATTTGCCTGATACAAAATGTTTACAGAAATCTCAATTAGTTCACTATTGGATTTCATGTTATCTCATTGAATCTACACTTTGCAAAACAAAAAGAAATACAAGTTTTCAGTATTTGACAATAAATCTGAGATGAAATGTAACTGAAAAAGGTATACCTTAATCATTAGGTATATTTTATTTACTTGCCAATCTCATCATAAATCTTTTTTTATGGTCAACTTACTTTTTATTGAGTAATCATCTTTAGAGAAGAATAGTTATAGCAACATTAATATTCAGTTAGTAATCTATGTTATATATGACATGTTATGTATGTCATAATCTTCGTATATTACATAGACAATATTTGATATTCATGATGATTGGTATGCTTCATAAATAATTCATTAGATTAATTGTTCAAGGATCGACGTTTAATTACTGCGTAACAGATAGAAACCATGACACACATACCTTGATTTCTGTATTCAGTTGACGTTAGAATAAAAAATTTATGAAATTTTTCATTCAAAGTTTATTATAAATACAGACAGTTGATAAGTTTTATAACACCGTTAATTAGTATACATATATTCACGTAGATTTCATATTCCGTGACGAATTAATATTTGCTTTGTTGCTTACGCAAAATGAATAATGAGGTATTGTGTGAACGTCAGATCATTTTACTATGATACATCATTATTTAAACTTTTTCCGCCCATACTATGAACAATAAGTCGAATTGAAATTGGTTACTTCAAAAACATCCTATGTTCGTTTACTATTGAACACGTCCTGAATTCCATTGCTAACCACTATCCATCTTTACTCATAAAGCTTGTAACCTAATACAGTATTGAAGCAGTCCATACAAGATGAACATATATCAACAAGAGACTGATCAATTACAGTCCTTAAACAACACTGATAAGATACGAGCAAACAACATCAAGTGGATTTAATAAATTTATGTTCAGTTATTCATAATTTTTAAATTCCCTCCATTTTTTTGTGTTCTTCTTCCTTACTTTAACAACCCTTCTTGGTTATTATCAAGTTTTATTTTTCAAAATGAAACGTGTGTATAATGATATGAAAAAAATGCAAGAAAATTACAAGAAAATTCACTTAACTAACTTAGATTGACTGATTATTGTTTTGTTATTACAGAATGTTATTAAGATGAATAATGACTTAATTGTATATCAGTGATACTAATTAATTAAGGAATAAAAGAAAGAGAGCAGTTATTAAATCTAACTTAAATATAAATGTAACATATGACAATACAATAGAATGTAATTATGTTTTTCTTTTCTCCTTTTCGATTATCACAATCGTTCATTGTTTATGTTTTACATTGAAATAAGAATTTCATTAGAAAGATATAGACTATTGTAAGAGTGAGAAAAAAACTGGATATGAAATTTACATTATGATGAACAGAATATTTCATATTCATCTATTGCGTGCAAGTCTGATACGGTACAATGTAATTTTGATAAGTTAAAAAGGATGTAATGTATCTTAATCATAAGTTTTTAAATAGTTTTTCGTAAATAATCTATCAGTATATGGTTGTGAAGATTGTTGAGAAGTGCCATAGTAGAACGAAATGGTTGTTCAAAGATTCTAGGTTCTCAATGATAGTCTAACGTTGTTTGATTCATAAATAATCTATGTTAAATAACATCATTTTGCCTCATTAATAATTTTGCACTGTATATTTAAGTCGACAAGAGAAAAAAAGTGACTAGAGATGAAACTGAGACAGGTAGTGAGTAGTTGGTATTTCCAAAGTCATTATCCTGCTTCTTTTTTTACATGGTTTGATGTTGTTTCTTGGTAGCCAATTAATAATACAGTCGAATTATAGGTTCAAATTGAAATATACGGATCATTTTTTGACATTTTAGTGACATTTGTCGAAAAAATCTATTTATTATGGTATTTAGTGAAGACTGATTAGGTTGCATGATCATTTGATCTTAAATTTGTTTACGTGCAACACATTATGTTCATATGTTCATAGCACTTTCAACAATTATCTGATCATGGACTGATAATAAGTGTGTCAAATATTTGTTGTCATATTCACAACAATCATTTAGCTGTAATTTAGACATATCTATTATCTATTTTTACTTATTTTTTTATCGACTGTGATGGAAGTCTATCGGTTATTTATAACCTATGCATAGATTTCATGTTCGAATGAAACTTCTTATGCTCTATCTTAGGCTGATCTGATCGGTGAATGCGTGTGGTCTACTTGTAGCAACTTACATTTAGCTTCTGAACTTTTCAAGTAGAATTAAATTCAAGTATACACCAAAGATTAACCAAAGAATCACATATCTAATCGTTCGGTAATCGGACAAGCGACCGATTTAATTTATAATTCACTGAATAAAATTAACAATTCAGTAAATTTACGGACAAATATATTCAACATGAATTTATGTCTAAGAGATAACATACATTCTAAACGCTAGTTAAAACCTTATGTTAATCATTGGAAAAATGATGATTTTGTGTAATTTTTGTCACAGAATGTATTATTATTTCGGGTTGATTATCATCATTATTGATAACCATATAAACAATCATTGATAATTTGATCAATTAATTTATCTTTCTGCTATTAGGGATCATGATGAAGAGACCAGTGTATTAGAAGCGGTTCGGAGTTTAAATGAAATTCGTGGTGTAAAACAGTTAGGTCGTTACTTTAAACAAGTTAGTCAATCAGCACGTAAAAATCAAACTGGTGATATGGATGATTTTTTAGGTTGTGTCACAATCGATATCAAAGTAAGTGAACAATTGATCTTTCGTTTTGTTTTATTTAATACTAAATATACAAACAGAATAAAACCTACAGAATAATGTTGACATATTTATTAAAAAGCATGATTAATTCAATATGTTGAATACTATTGATGATCGCTTCACAGTGTCATTGGGTAATTATTCAATAGTTCACAATCTACCGAACCAATTCTTAGGCCATTTCTTTGGAATATTGTATTAATCAGTCAGTAAGAAAATTAATTTCAGTCTGATTGAATATTTATGAATAAATGTATTTAATCTCGTCGTTTGTTAGATAATGGTTTTGATGTAATGGTAACCAGTCATCAAGAATTTATTTGAATTTAATGATTTATCATTGTATCCCAATAGATTCTCATAAGTTAACAGTTTATGTACCAATTTATTCAACCGTTGACAAATACAACGTACTTATAATCGTTTGTTTCCAGTTATTGTAGTTTCACTAATCTGTTATATTTGAACTGAAAATGTGCTAATATCTTATTCGGTATACTTTTCAACAGCTATTTTGAATTCATAAGTTAAAACAGATTGGTATTAATGAGTACCAGTTATATCATTGAATGTTGAAATAGAAGATATCTGATAGATATTACGTGTATAGACATAAACGAAATTTGTATTCATTGTTTACTAATCATCACTTTTATTTGATATGAAATTTAGTGAGAACAATAGTTATAGGTGAAAGCATATTGATTGTTGTTACAATTATTAGTGGTAGTAATATCAGGTAAACCTTATTAGGGAAATAGCCAAATCCGTAACAGTTTCTCTTGATTTGAGAATTATTTTATCCAGGCTACAGGGCAAGCGAGGAAATTCAGAGGTTTAGTACTTATATTTATGCGACATGTTTTACATGGTTTAATTATCAAAATGAACGTGAAATGTACTCATTGAACAAAAAAGCCCTAGTCTTTATTAACTAAATTTGATTAATAAAACGTTTTACGCTTTACTTTCCATATATTCAAACAAATTTACCTAATTGAAAGATGGAATCGTTGATTAATGGTTATTGTCAACTTTGTTATGACTTCCATCTTCCAACACATTTTAAGATGTTTACACTACAAATCATGCCTGAACTGTATGATTAATTCTATGACTACTTTCTTGAATTCCATAATTTTGATATATGGATATGGGTAGCGAACTCACTAGGTAGTACATTGAAATGAATTTTGATATGAATTTATTAATATTCTTCTAGTGGTTCTTGATTCTTTGTTCTTTAACTCATAGCATTTATACATTACAAGAATAAGGAAATCCAAATACCTACTTATGTTTTATCACTAGTAAAATCACAACTAATCATTTCTAATCGTTCAGCGATTACAGAAGTCTTAAAGGAAGAAAAGAAAAAAAAGGGTATTTCATTATTGCAATGATGTTCAACAGTTTATAATTGGATGGTTGTAGTAGATTTTCATAGGGTAGTGAATGCTTATTATTATGATATGATCTCATAACCAACTAGTTTTTTTTTGAATTCCCTTCATTTTAAAATCGAATTACGTGATGAGAAAGCCGATTCCTTTGAAGTAGTATATTTATATTCTCATAGCTCGAATTTACTTTTCATTTATATAAGTGACACACAACTAGTTTGTGAATCTTTTGTAAAAGAATATTCATTACTAGAATTGAATAGTACAGTTATCAGATCTAGTTCCTTAAAATAAGGAAATGTAATTAATGTAACCCATGTTTCTTTTTAAGAAAATTACTTCTATTAATAATTGATATTAATTCTATGATTTAACTATATTGTAGGATATACCATCTACAGGTTTAGATAGTTGGTTCAAATTAGAAGGTCGTTCAAATCGATCAAAAGTTCAAGGTGAAATTCATTTAGCGCTTAATTTAAGCGCACAAAATGATTTGAATGAAGTTGAACGTGATAAAACTGTGGCTATTCAAGAACATATTCAATTATTTTATTTATTTTCACTTTATCAATTAAAACAAGAAAATGTAAGTTAACCCAGTTTGTATGATTTTAATTAACACTTCAAGTAATGAGAAATAAAACAAGATCTTTTTAGTTCTCTATGGAAAATATAGTAGAATATGAACATTTTGTTTTTGTAAAAGTACTAATTCCGTGAGGAAATGTGAACACAGTTAATAAAAAGGGTTATAATACTAGATTACGTAATATGAATAATAACAATAGATTTAGTGAATATAATAATAAGATCATTAAAATGATTAAAATGCCAGTAGGTCCTGGGTTCGAGCCCCGCGTGGTGCGGGATCGTGGATGCGCACTGCTGAGGAGTCCCATACCAGGACGAACCGGCCGTCCAGTGCTTCCAGGTTTTCAATGGTGGTCTAGCTTGAACTGACTCATGATTTCAACCTGTGAAATTTCTAAAACTCTCCACAAAACCCATTCTGATAAAATGTTTTTGTTATAATAATTAAAGGTGAATGGTCAAAATTTGATTTATTTATTTATTATGATTTTTTATTCAACATTAATTCAGTTTGATTCAATCTAATGATCACTCAGTATAGTATTCGTTTCGTTTACCCCTATGACATTTTATTCTGTATAATATATGATATTTTTGTATGAAGTATTTTTCAGATATTTGATTTATTCTGATTGTTGATCAAAAATCGGTGTACAAACTAATATATAAATGAGTGTATTTCCAACTAGACTGGTTGTGATTGCTCGTGCTTCTGGCTACTTACGGAATTTATTTCCCCGTTTTGAACTTGAATTTCTCTCTCTAGTTAGCGGGGCTGAGACGCATTAGAATAGCTAGCTTATTGATCTTTGGTCACAGAGTCTTTGCTCCGTTCGCAGACTGGGTGAACTCGTAATCGCTTCAAACATAGCAAGATGACCCAGTGATAAGAATTAATTATCATTATTTCACTGATAATGTTGTATTTAACCATTTTAAATAGTTCATTTATATAAATGAATAGAGTTTAAATGAATGAATTATTCAAAAACAAGTAATATATTGTTTACTTATAACATTAGTATTTAAATCAGTTGATCCCTTTTATAAATTTTGATAGAGCAATGGGATGGCAAAGTTGATTTGATTATACATGAAATCGCTAACATCAGATGATACGAATGTGAATAAGTAATGATGTACTTTTTTTCTAAATGTTATGTCTCAGACATTGCGTTTACGTTTTATTACCTTTGCGAGTGCTATGATTTTTATAACAGTAAATTTTCAGTCATACTTTTCTTTAATTACAAATAATGAAGTAAACAAGTCATAAATATAAACAGTAAAACTCTAAGCTAACTAAAGAATACTAGAAATAATTTCATCGCTTCAGTACTGTACTTTAAAACATTAAATTTTTTATCAAAGGGTGTAGATCTGTAGCTGAATCACAAACAGTGGCATACAAAAAAATTATTGAATTACTTGTGAAAACAAAATATGTTTACTTTATATCAGACCATTTCCAAATAAATAGTTTTGACAAATGTATTTATAATCAGGGAGGTGTTTTGTGAATATTGTAGTAATTTAGTAGTTGAATTCATGAGTCAGTTGAAGCTAGACTACTATAATATCCACACAACGCATCTCTGAATATAATTATCATATGCTCACTAGTGACGGTCTTCAAGAAGTATTTCCTGAAGTTCTAATGAGAAGCCGTGACCAATGGAGTTCAAAAAAGTGTTGTGAGATAGTAACTCACTGATAACAATGGTGGACGGTGGCGCAACTTCGTGGATTAGTTGAAGTTAGATATTAACACCGTTGGATGCAGGCCGGACCAGTGGTCTAGAAGCTAAGCGTTCGCGCGTCAGACTGAGAGGCCCTGGGTTCCAATCTCGCGAGGCGTGGTCGTGGATATGCTCTGCTGAGGAGTCCCAAACTGGTACGAAACTTCCGTCCTGTGCTTTCAGGTTTTCCATGGTGGTCTAGCTTCAATTGACTCATGAATTCAACTACTGAATGTACTTATCATGCGCTTTGAAAGCCTTTATTTTTTTTAAGTTGAAAAATATTTACAGTGACAAAGAAGAAGCAGCTGTAGTCAATTTAGAGCCATTGTAGTTTATCCATATTTATGATCATTCAATTCAGATAGGTTGATTTTAAGTAATTGAAAACAATGAAAATGTATACATGCATATTTTATGATCCTGAATTATACACGTACGTACTAATTTATGATAATTTGTCACATACAAATAGCGGACATATGAAAATATCCAAAATATTATCTTAGTTAAATGAACACAAATTAATATTGGAAAATATATGTTCTCAAAATGTAAAGTAATGTGAATATTTTGTTTCAGTATCACACTAACCAAAAACTGATAATTTTGGATAATGCGATAAGAAGACTAAAGGTGGAACTTTTATTTTTGGTATATCAATTCTCTTAATAAATAAATGTGCAATCAGAGTGAAATTTATTGAGCAAATATATCACATAATTCTGATAACATTCGTCTTCTCATTGTATCATTCAAATTTATCAAAGGGACTAATTGTTTTATACTGATATTACTTAATATTTAAAAGTATGTTTGCATAATTGGTAAATACATGGAATTATTTTTCTAGGTAATTAAGTAGTATTTAAATAATATATCGTGTTGTTTGTAAGGGGAACGTTACACATAAAAATTTAATGCTGCGTCCCCGGATGAAGACATCCCTTACACTTCTTTTATGTAACTCTCTAGTTGTATTTATTTGTAATTAGTTTTTTTGTGATTGAATGAAATATCGTTTCCGGTTATTTATATTCGTTAAGCTTTATATAAACTTAACGGAAACAAATAGACAAATTTTTTTCTTTCCACATTGTTTGCACAGGTTATTTAAAGAATACAGCCTAAGAAACAGTTGGAAATGTTAACAATACAGTATTCACTTCATTAGAAATGTTAATTGACAGGGTTTACACGTATTGTGTTGTTTGATACATCATTTCTATTTGAAATAAATTAAAACAAAATCCTTAATAAATAAAATGAACTTAGGTGATGACCGCATTTTCCGTACAATGATAAATGGTAGTGTATGTTACTTATGTTGACATAAGTAGTATATGACACCAATCAGAAGTGATATGCCTGGGAGCAGAACGCTTGTAAGATTAATTCAAAAAGAACGGGGACATAGAGTAATTGTTATGCCAATGAAGGAACGACGAAGTTTGAGGCAATTGATAGAGGATTTGTAAATGAAGTATTTAATGTATCGTTTTCATATTTGACAAAAGAACTCTGTAATTTTGTAATGAAATTCAGTTGGCTGTCCCCACCTGTGTTCTCGTTCATTACAAAGTTATGATTATTGAAATTAAGTGAAAAGACCTGGGAGATACTAATGATTTTGCAGTTTTAATCCATACGTTGGTGCAAAAAATGTTATGTTTCTTTAAATTGTACTCTAAATTTGTAGTGAAATATCACTTATTATCTTGGAGTAATAAGGTAATAATTACCTTATCAGTATGTAGTTGTGAAGATTGTTAAGTATTTGGTTGAGATCATGGATTGATGGAAGTTAGAGCACCATTAAAAACCTGGAAGCACTGAGTGGCCGTTTAGTCGTAGTAAGGGACTCTTCAACAGTGCACAACTACGATTCCTCACGTGGGAGTAGAACTCAAGACCTTTGGTCTTACGCTCGAACGCCTAACCTCTATATTTAGTAGTGATTCCTAATGTTTGAGAACAAGAAAGAATGATTTCAGTCTGTCAGTCATCTATAACGTAGGACCAGACACATAGAAACATCGATCCAAGCTGCAAAACTTCAATAACACATGGTGAACACCAAACTCATAGTAGTTACTCTAATGGTAGTAACGTGAAGTAAAATAGCATATAAGGATGCAATACATAGAGAGAGAGGACTAGTTCGTAGAAAGATATAAATCAATTTTAATCTCACAGTTTAAGGGAAGACAAAAAATGTATGCACCCACGTCATTGTGATCGATTTTGAACCATGTCACCCAGATTCTCCAACCATTGGTTACGATAGTCACGCGGACCCCAACCAAGTAGTCTGCATCTACCAACATGGCTCAGACTAGAAGTTAGTGACGTTTTGGTTTAGCTGCCCCTAACTTTCTTCTAATCATTCCCTACGCTAGTCAGCATTGCGCGTCGTGGTAATCGGTGGTTTACTGAAAATTATACTGTAAAACACAATGAACAATCATTATATGATTCGAAGCACTATCATCGTCAATCAATCTACTTCTTGAAAGAAATTATATATCGATTTCATGTTTTTTTCTTTAAAAAAGTGGTGTGAACATTATACTTTTTTCTTAACCCCTCTTTATCCCTTTTTTGTCGAAAAGTTTTTCATTGATTTGATTGTCTGACCTTCTTATTTAAGAAAGAAAATAAACAAACAAAATATTTTAACAAGTTAATGTATAAGTTTACTGCCAGTATGTCCTGTCATATTTCGGATTATCTCTATGTTACCTCATGTTCATATTTACTATATACATTATTTAAGTATTAATTTTAATATATTTAACATGTGTACAAGACTACATTCATTGTATACTTGTTATTCACCAGTCATAAGCAATGTGATATTGATTAATTATCCGTGTTGACTATGTTCTATAGATAGAATCGACAAACAATGAATATACTGATGATTAAACAATATATTACTAGTTGATAATAACAAAATAAGTTATACTGTCTTTTTACTGTTTAATAAACTATGATAAAATAAACATAATGTGTTTACAAATTATTTGATGGTGAGGCTATAATTTATGGACGACATTTGAGCCACTCTAAAGTCACCTTGAGTGTCCATCTAATGAGGGTTACAAACCAGTGTGAGGAATCAGAATTATGATTTACAGTTGATGGTTAAGGTTAAGAATGAGATATAAACTTTTCATCACGAATTGACATCAACTATAATGCTAAAACTCTATTCAACCTAATGGATGAGTGAATTTAGCGCCAAAATCCAAGACCTTTCATCTTATATCTGATTGGTTCGTTCATAAATTATAGTCTCACCCTATATAGTTAAACTCATATAATTTCCATTTGAATTTTGTTACTCATAGGGATTATTAAATTTTAATCGAAAAGCATTAAATGCAGCTGAAACATGCAAATTTGTAGAACAATAATTAAATATAGAAAAACAAAACTAACCATTATAGAAAAAAAATTGTTTGTTTAAGCAATGGTTATGAATCTTTTCATGACTATAACTGATTACTTATTCATCTATACAGGTACATTAAACATTGTGAGATGAAGTGTTAACTGTTTCTATTTGGTTTCATTATATATTTATATCTTCTACCGAATAAAATGAAACATATGTCTAACACTGATTTAATCACCAAACATCCAGTAGCATTTTATTTTCTTTCATTCAAACTATAAATACATAAATATAGTGATGAGTACAACATTAGTTGATAGACCAAACTGTTCTATTTCCTTAAATATATATATAGAAGTAGATTTAAAACTGTTTTCTTCTAGGGAGTTTAACATTTATACACCATTCAGTCATAAAAATATATGTGATTACTGTAGTTTGTCGTTAAGTTACTTATAATGATCTATATCAGTTTATGTTTAAATATAACATTTTATTACAGTGAACTAAATAATTGTATACAGTTAACATTACACTGTTTGTTTTAATTAATTTACTGAGGTAAAGTAATCAAATGTAATATAAAATTACAAAGATTTTTATTCAAGTAGATAAATAAAAATTGAAACTTTAAAATTTCAACCTTTTATATGAATTGAAATGTATTTTTTGTTTTACTGAAATAACATGTCAATTAACATTTTTCTTTATTTTAAAATGGGAACAATAGGGGTTAGATTTAAACGTACTAATTTTGAAATGTCTTTTTTTTAAGATTTTGTATTTGTTAAATGTCACTTTATCCGGAGTAACCAATGATAAGACGCTTTGTTGGTAATTTTGTGTAATTTCAATGTATTAAGAATTGTATCATAGAAGTTACAACATTATGGTCGTACTAGTTCCTTGAATAGTGCTATCTATTTATCACTAACAAAAAAACTTGACTTTCGGACGAATAATTCAGTAACATAGACATTCATGACAGTATTGACGACCCATTGCTCTTTCCACCTTTATATTTTGACAAACGTTAACATAAAATATTCAGTACACTTTAAATTTGTTATTCTATCTTAAGCTGGCTTTCAAAAGGAAAATTTTTAGAAGCTTAACAACTCAAGGTTTCGAAATGAGTATAAAAAGCTTCATTTTTATTAAATCATTAACATTATTCAATCAATTATGAAAACATCATAATGGATACGTTATTCAGTCATTCTTATATATATCATAAATAATGTATATAAACACTTTTACATATGACTTCATCAATCAAAAATCTAGCGTGTTCGATTTAATACCTTGATAATCTATTCGTTATCAGTATTATTAAGTGTTGTTTTACAATCTTCATCATTATTTATTTAGAGTACTGGAATACCATGGAATGGAAATATAGTTGAAGAAGGTGAAATTATTCTTCATCAACATGCTATTCAAAATGGACTGACAGAAATACAAGTTGCCATGTGGTAAGTTACATATATTTTAATAATTTGCAATAGTTCGTACTTTTTTTTGGAAAAAAGAGACATTAATTAGAGCTGAATCCTTTGTTTATATCTAAATTATATGCATGTTATCGATCATGTGGTAATTCGGTACAATTTTAAGTAATTTACTAAATGATCTAATTTATTAATTATTTATTGTTATTACGTTATTAAGTTATTAGTCAAGTTAAGATATATATGACGCAGGGAGTATTGATTCAATGCTTTTTTTTTTCTTAAATTAATCAATAATGGAAACATGTCCCTTGTACAGTCTGAGTAAATGAATAAAAAATAGCAAATATGGTAATGTTTATCATTCAAAATTAAATTACTTTTGTTTTGACCATTTCGTTACATGATACAAATTAAATTAGTATTAGATAAGAAACTTGTATATTTTGAAGACATTACTGTTTGTAAGACTTTTGGATGTACTTCAATTAATTAATTAAGGGGAACAAAATGTTGAAGATTAACCATATTATTATGTTACTAGACACTGATCACAGCTCACTTTATATCTGTTTGTGAATAAAAATTTGTAAGATTATCATATTACTAGTATATTCAATTTTCTGAGTGTACAAAATTCGACTTTTAAAATATCCAACTCAAATATACGAAGTTAGTACTGTTGAGATGGTGGAGAAGATTTGTAGCTCAGGTGGATGATCTTGATGGAGTTTTGTTCTCTGAGCTGGATGGTTTGGTCCAACTCAGAGAACAAAACTCCACCAAGTTAGTACTGTCTTAAGCCTTTTTTTAGCCTAAACACTTGGAATAGTTCAAATTACTATTAAAAAAATGAGTGATTAGCTTACTGTAAAAGCATTTGCAAATGTACATACACTTATTGGGTATTTAAGAGCTTGTTCACGTAAGAGTTGGTGTTATAACACTAGACATTTTGGCTACTAGAAGTCATTCTATACTGCAATATATATATATATATATATCGCATAAAGATCCCCAATTTACCTGGTTCAAAATCATTCTATTCACTCAGTAATTTCCGATTGTAAGATAAGTTTGAGTAAGAAATAATAAAAAGCATTTAACCGTAAACTGATGACATTAAATCGTTTTAAAAAATTTTTTTCTATTTCATTGATTTACAGTCAGTGGATAGCATTGATTCGATTAAATTATACTAGATCATTGGATCAAATCATTCTTTTACATACATTCAAACATCTTATATCATTATGGTCAGATAAACTACTTACTAGAGAAGAGGTAAGATATATTGCTGACAGATTGAAATTTGTTATCATAATAAAGCATTTCTTAGAAAATCAAACTTTTGTTTCACAATTATAATCATTACTTCAATACTTTTGTTTTGTACAAAGTTATAAAACTTCATCTATATGAAGTACATATACGATTTGTTGCTTGATGGTGTTTGTACTATGACATGTTTATTGATGAATTTGTTTTCATCAAGAGTTAACGCTTTTTTTAAATTTATGCTTCATGTTTGATTTTGGACAGTACAGAATTTTTAGTTTTGTATTAAATGAACCAACTATTAGGATGGTATTGTAACTTAATTGACCTCTGAAATTTGTGAACATAACGGATGTGCTTAGGAAAATGTGTAGAGTTAACACGGAAAATATTCTATAAGTTTACAGTCAATTTTAAAGTTTTTCATAAAGAATCTTTAACTCGATTATTGAGATAAATGTTGTCACTTACAAGGATCTTAGAATACTCTTTTCTTAGGTAATGTTTTTAAATAAAAAGCTTTCAATTTATTATGAAATGGGTTACTTACATCCCATATACCATTTCTGGTCAATTTAGCTTAGGATTGATTATTGTTGGTAATTATACAACTGATTTCAAATACATACAGAAAGTGATTTTCCTTTGTTCTTGTTTTAGGACATTATCGTTCGCTTAACTAACTGTTTGATTCAGTATTATTACTCAATTCGTTAATAAATATCTTCTGTGTTATGAATTTAAGCCCGCAATGTTTTTATCTTGTTCGATTTGTTAAAGAATTTGAAATTTCCTTAATAGAATCAGTGTAATAAGTTGTTTGCTTGTATTATTTAAACCGGTGATATGACCATTCGTGATATAAATGATGATCAGATTTTGTCAATTTTCGCGAATTAAAAAGACAATAGTTGCGTTCATTAGTGGCTTATTTCGATATGGCTTTCTGATTTTCCAGTGAACATACGTAACTGGTTATGTTGTACTGCCTCATGAATAAATCGGATACATACCAATGACATTAACTAATTAACAGAATATATTGTGTATGGACTATAGTTGGAAATGTAATTGAACTTAGTGATCTGAGGATCACCCTGAATCCTAAGATACCTAGTAATAAAACATGTTATTCATGATGACTGCTCAACAAAATACTATTGAGGAGTCTTGGATATAAAAGAATTGTCTGTTCAACGTTATTGGGTTTCGAACAGTTCTCAAGATGATGGTATTAATTTGCAAAAGTTGTAAACAAACTTTTCGTAACCTTTTACAGTTTAGTGATGCTCCGGTAAATGTAGATAATGACCAGTTTGTATGATGAGGTTTTGCACAAGGTTATACCACTTTATGTCGTTAATAACGTCTACATTGCTTTCTATATGTATCGTGCCTTTAGATAATCATCATACTGATTAATTTATAATTACTAGTGATATGTGAGCTACATAATGGTCTGAATTAGTAATTTATGACCTTCGATATGTTTGTGATGAGAAGCGTAGCTATTTGTTACTTTTAAACAACCTGATGTGTACAGTATACATATTCCACTTACAGTAGATGTTCATTCCTCAATCAGCCCTTAAGTATTTACTTCAAATGATTGTGTTTTGTATCTTTACTTATATGAATATAAAATGAATACATATGGTATTCTTTACTCTTGCAGATGACTATTCAGTTGAGATTAGTTGATTTTTATCACATCTAAAATTCCAGTTTTCAAGTACTAACTTTACTAATCAACTTAATAAAGAATAGTAAGTGGATTATACTTAAGATTTAATTTAATGTTAAAATATTAACTATAATTAAATACCATATTTAAACTTTTGAATGTTGTTTTTATATTGTAGCTTAATTATTTATCAGATTCATTCAAAGTATTTACAGAACATTCTTTAATTATGATATGCAACTATAATTTAATCTTCTATAATGCTCAATCAGACAAGGTATTAGATTTGAATCATTTGCTTGAGTAAGTTAGATATTCTAATGTTAACCTTTATAAATTATAATTATTACAGTATAATTGTATATATTGATTGTTGACATTATTGGCATATAACGTTGATATAATGGGATGAAAGGATAAAATGACATTCTTTTCCTCATAGTATTTTTTGTTCAACATTATTTCCGTTTTTTTGTTTTAATTCAATGTGATAATTACTTAGTGTAGCATTTGGTTTTGATTTCCAGTGGGATATTATATGACATTCTAACACTAAGTTAACATGAACTATATTCAGCATGACATGGAACATGTGATTTGTTATGACCTCGGGGTATTTTTCATATATGTGATTTTATCTTAATCAGTAATCAAAATAGGTTTACAATCAATATATAAACAAGTGTATTTTCGACTAGTGTTGTCAACATGTTTGGGATTAATAAATCTTCATTGTATCATTCTTAGTGTTCTTAATTCGTTTCGTGGGAATTGTATTGGTTCCTCGCTTTACAAATAGAAGTAATAAGCGATTCCAACATAACAAATAGCGACGATCGGGTAGAACAGTTAGCAAGGCAGTCATAACCAAAATTTTTAAGTATAAGACTATAATGAATTGATTATTAACTTAAATTGGAATATACGAGATATTTCGCATGATTTTGTTGTTATTCAGATGCTAAAGTGATACAGAAGAAAAAGGTTCTTAAACAACTACCCGATAAGATTTACATAAATTATACACACATTCAAATGTAAAACTGATACTGGATTATGACTAAGAAAATGAAGATAATTAGTTGATTAACATGAAAACAAAACGTAATGTTGTTAACCTTAAACTCTTGTGAATAAAATATAAACAAATTTAAATAATTTTAATGGTTAACATCATGAGTCACTTGAAGCTAGACCACTATGGAAAATTTGGAAGCCCTGGATGACCGTTTCGTTTTATTGTGGGACTCCCCAGCAGTGCGCATCCAAATAAGTTTCCTATTTTTTTCTTTTGAATCATCATTTCTATGGTGTTTCATGAAATTTTAAATTTATTGAAAGAGTGAAATCAATAGCTATATACGAAGAAAGTTTTAATCCTTTTTTTCGTGAGTTGTAAAACATTAGAAAAAAACGAACAACTTTACTTGTTTTGATGATGAGTAGTTGGTTTCATTTCCGTTTGTCTATGATAATGATAAACAATAGTTGTTTTCCTTGTTTAATGAACAACTCCAAATTTTTAAAAATTATGCATTGCATATTAGTTGATGTTAATTTTGTTGTAAAACTTAGAACTATGGACTAATTTTATCAATTAAGAAAAAAAGTCCCACGAAAAAGAGTCCCACAATAGGACGAAACGGCTGTCTAGTGCTTCCAGGTTTTCCATGGTGTTCTAGTTTCAATTGACTCATGAACTCAGCCATTGAAAAAAAGTCACTGAGAAGCAAACAAAGTTTATACAAGCTTTATTAGATGTATAATGTTTTTATCAGTATAGGGTTATAGAGATTATTGAGTTTTTGATTGAGATCATGAATGGATTAATGTTAGATCACCAATGAATACTTGAAAGCAATAAATGGCAGTTTTGTCCTAGTTTAGGACTTCTCATCAATGCGCATCTAAGATTTCGCATGTAGGATTTTGACACAGGAGCTTGGGTCTAGTGCGCTAGCACTTAACCTTTAGACTACTGAGTCGGAATCCAATGCTTTTGCTATATTTCGCTATCAACAAATAAATTACAAATGTTTACATTAATATGAAAATGAATATTGCAGAACATTCAATTTTAAATGTGTTATTATTCCGAAATATGTGCAATGAGTTCTAGTAGGAGATCGTAGTCATAGTTCAGTTATTTTAAATGTGAAATAACAATAAGCAGCGACATGCGAAAGTCGTCAAGCTATATCATGAAGTTGTTTAGATCAGAAGCCAAGCTAATAATCTAATGGTTAGGTCTCTTTTTGAAATCGGAATGTTCTAGGTCCCAACTCAAAAATGGTCAACGTTTATCACTTATATTTTTATGATAGAGCGTGATAACTGTTCAGTTCTTGATCAGAGCTCTAACTGAAAGTCGATCTGTAACGAATACCACCACAGAAATCACATTATTACTTCATATATGTGTTAGTGATAAGATTTTCATTTTAAAATTTCAATTTATTTAAATCGTTTAGTCTTTTCATCGTTTAAACACATATGAGTTTAAATAAAGTCAAAAAAGATCTAACCTACTCAAATCATTGAACATCATTTTGTTTTAATTGACTTCTCTTTATATATTGATTCAAACAATTGCGGTTATTGATAATTTGATTTTAAAAATGTTTATTTTTTGAAATTCTCCATACAATTGTTCAATTCTTTTATTTTTACTTTATATTATTTAAAGGTGTTTATGTATGTTGCATAATTCACGTTTATATCAGTTCAGTTCACCTTTTTCTAATTCATTACAAAAAGAATTTCTTACATCATTTAAGGTAGACTAATGAAATGTTGAATTTTACACGTTGTACTTCTGTAGTTAATTGTTGTAAAGTTTATTGTTGTATTTTGTTTCCTTTCAAAAAAATCCGGTTAGTTAATTATTAGAAAATAGTAAAACGTTCAAGCAAAATGGACGTTACATTTCGGTTTGTTTTGTAACTAACATGCAAATCTAAGTTTAACACAATTGTAAATTTTGGCTGCTTTTTTTAAGCATCCACTTTTCCCTTAACAAAACTTTATTACAATTATCAACCATTACTGAATACTTAAAGATACCCTTTGTATCTTTGAGTAAAGAATCAATAGAATTCAGTGAAGTTTTCTCTACGACAAAATCATTTAATAAAGCTATAAAGTTGTGCTTACAATGGTGAACAATCGTCTTTCAGTTTTCTGACACGTAAATCTTCGTATTATTCCTTAACTTCTAGATTATTACTTGGTCGTCTTTTGTTGATTAAAACCTCTAAATAAGATGGTGGTTGGACGTAGTCATCGGGAAACCATGGAAATGGGTTTCGTTCTACTTGGCACCCGTCATCAAGGTGTACCTGTAATCGTGAGGGAACTGGTACACCCTGACAGATTCGATCCCGTGTCACCCAGCTTCACAGCCAGAGACTTTGCACTATGGATTTCGTGTACTATGGGCAGTAAATTAAGGATCACGAACAAACTCTGTCCTGGGCTGTATAGCTGTAATTGCCGGAGTCATGTTTTCTTCGATTTGTTCCCTTTCCTTTTCCATTGAGGGTTCGAAGTAAGAGCTGGCCTTGTGAAGTAGCGTGAATGTTTCCGTAAATATTGTTTTATCATACCATAGAGTCATTTGCTAGCCTACCATTCACTGGCAGGTGATTTGTTCTATGCTAGAGTAGATTATTGTTGATGGACTCTTGCCAACGATCCTGAGATACCTTGCATTAATAGTCGCTCATAAATACGTGTACCTTTCAGATGATGGTTGTGGTAATTCTTCATTTTTAGCCAAATACAACAAAACTAATTTCATTTTAGTGTTGAAAATTCTGATTTTGCTTTCCAATATCAGTTTTTTCTGATTCTAGGTGTTCTTTAGTTGTAGGAATGTTTCCTTTGTTTCATCAATTTACTCCTTGACATCTGCGTCATATCATACTTACTCAAAAACTTTCAACTCATATATTCATCAAATCACTATAGATACTAATGTTTAGCTTTAGTAAATAATATCTTTGGATGGAAAATTCTTATTACTGAATTCCAAATATTCCTTATATACTGTATACATTTAAGACCAATTACGATGTAAAACGATAAAGCATTTTTTGAAGGGGTGAGGAGATATTATTCAATAATCTATATATTATACACTCAAAATTAACCCAAATATAGAATGTGACTCTTTCTGGTTATGTAACGAAAAAAATATTTAGAAATTATTGTCATAATTTGAATTAAGTAAAAACTAGTCTTAAGATTGATAACCATACATAAAATTATACATTGAATAGCGGTCAGTAACAAAGATCTTTAGTTAAAAATGATACATTTCAATAAATAATTTTATTCTCAGACGTCATCCCTGACAAACTAGTTTAAAATCATTGTTTGGTAAAGATGAATATTGGCTAGCCGAGGAATCCAGGACGCTCATTATATCCTATTTAACGCTCATCAGCTGGATGTGCCTGCATCCTACAGTTGATGTTCACTTCGGCATTCCAACCCAGTACTGTGAGCTAAGTGGATAATGCAATGGAGTTTGAAGGGAACGGTACTGGGTTGGAGTTCCACAGTGACCATCAGCTCTTGGATAGTGGTACAACCAGCTGATGCGTGTATTGGATTCCACTGCTAACCATCATCCATCTTTGCTTATAATGCGATTCGCAAAGGATGCGAATATGTCAATATGAGACCAATCAGCTGTAATCTTAAACATCAATCGGAAGATTCAAACAACCAATACAAAAATGCATTAAATAGTTAAGCTTTTTTAGAACTAAATAACGCTAGTAATATCAGCAGTAATATATTATCTATTTGTAGACAATTGTTTTATATGACAGCATTTCGAGTATCTTTTTTTCATTCCAACCACAGTTTTTTTTGTGAAATCAACAATTGTTGTCTTCTTAATGTAGTTACGTATTTAATGTGCTACAAATAAAATGAAAACAAATATGTATTTCATTCAAATTTTTTGGAATTTTGTTTAGAAATTTGTTCTTGCACGTTATGAAAAACACAAAACCGCCGTTATGGGAAAAACCGATGTAAGTTTAAAATTAATATATTATCTATTAAATTCACTTTGTATTAGTATCAGAAGGCGTTTTGTAGAGATTTTTGTAATTCCAATAGTTGGGATCATGAGTCAATTGAAGCTAGACCACCACGGAAAATTTGGAAGTACTGGATGGCCGTTTCGTCTTGTTGTAAGACTCCGTATTATGGGACTTCGTATTGTTTACTTAAATCTTCCCATTGATGTTTAGGACTGTAATTTATCAATCTCTTATTGGCATATGTATATACCTCGATATTGCCTTAATTCACAAGCATTATAAACAAAGATGGATAGTGGCTAGCAGTGTAATCCAGTTCGACGCGCGTTTCGTCCTATTTGAGACTCGTCATCTGGATGTACCTGCACATATGCCAACATGGGACTGATCAATTGCGGTCTTGAAAAACAATGAGAAGAAACAAGTAAAGCAACAGCAAGTGAATTTAAACTTCATCACGTTCCACAAGCAGGTGGCTATCAGGACTCAGTAGCTAAGTGGACAACGTGATGGAGTTTGGAGAGAACAGTACTGTGTTCAAGTCCCAAAGTGAACACCAACTGTGATATGCAGGTACGTCCAGCGTACGAGGTCCAAATAGGACGAAACGCGCATCAAACTCGATTCCACTGCTAGCCACTATCCATATGTGCTTATAATGTATTATCTATTGTTAGATCGCGAGTTCGCTTATATACTAAGTAATGTAACAATTTAATCTGTAAATACAAACACATATTATTTTTTATTCCTGTAAATTTTTCTCATTCTTTTTCACTAGCAAACATAGTTTAAAAGGAATATAAAACCTAAATTATTGTATATGATCTAATCTTTTGTCAACTTTGTTTTAATGGATGTATCCTGACCTGATATCTCCAACATTTTCATGCATAATTCTATTTTATTGATAAAACTTATTATATTACTAAAATGTTTAAAAAGCTTTTAACAAAATTTGTTTCTATCCTTTTTTAAAAAAAATAATCACTAATTAAACCTATTTGTAAAAGTTTATTTTACTTTGATAATTGTAAACAAATAACATTTGAAGATTTGTTGCCTAGAGAACAAGTTACTATAATTATTATTAAAATTCAATTTGTTTAAAATGTAATTCTGTTTGTGTTTTTTTAATTAGGCTTGATACAACAGAAACCATTTAAGTATTTTTAAAATTCATTTCATTAATATATACATTTGAGTAGTATTTGTAAATGTAACTGACATTCAATAGTTTGTTTACAAATTATCTTTTTTTATTGTGTTAAATTACTAACTAGTTGATTTTAAAGATAATAATTAATTGGTAGAAACGAATCAACCCATGTTGACAGTTAATGTATATTTTATTCTGGCAAGGTTGTGTACAGTTCATAAAGTGCTCTATTCAATTGATATAATAATATGTACTTCATATTTACACTTGTTTGTTTGATTTTGTTTTTGACGATTAATGCTGGTCGGTGGCTTATGCTCTTCTGAGAGTAGCAGGCGTAAATAAGTAGTTAAGTAAGCAAGTAAGTAGACTTCTGAAGTAAACTTTAATGTAGATATAACAGTTTATCATTTAAAATAATTTAACAAAAAAAGATAATATGGAATTGCTTAACATTCACTAATTAGTATAAAACGGATTCTATTATCATTTCTATCAAAATCAATTGACTATTTTGATGAAAATATCATGTTGAAAATAAAAAAAATTATTATAGCAACTTTTGTTTCTATGATGAATTAGTTTCACTTTTTTTTGTTTTAATTAGAAGTTGGATTTGGCACATTATGAAATATCTCAATTAATATTATTGATTAAATTGTTGATTATTGATTTGGAAAAATGTCATGAAGTTTATTCACCAATTATTAAAAAGTAAGAATAGTTTTGTATAAAATAAAATTATCAGTATATGAAGATATATTTCACTATTATGATTTTGTACTATATATTCACTGTTATTATAAGTAGTATTCATCATGGATGACTGATTCTATTCTTCGATAATGAATATATGAATATAATTCTTATGAACGATTCATATTAATGAATAATAATCCAATTTAGTTTCATTCGACCGCTTATTTATGTTAATAATAGTATTATTAGTAGTGTTGTTATTATCTTATGATATAATAATAATACATGATGTATACCGTATTGGTTCTTATACACAATAGGAAAGTAACCTAAACAGTTGTATACATATATTTCGTATAATTAGTAAGGTTATAGTTCTATTATTTTCTATAGTATAGTTAAAAAGCTTTTTGTTTTTGTTGTTTAGAATAAATAATAGATTGTGTAATTTAATGACTTGTGAATTTAAGGTCATAATGAATAAAAAGAAATAATATTACAACTGAATAAGCTATTATTCACTTTAATATATGTATTGAAAGAAGCATTCCTAATATAATGAACTTATAAGAATACATGTAGAACAGACTAAAATTCTTTTGGTTCAAAGATAATCAAATACAAAGTTACGTGATCATTCTAATTTCATTGAGACTTAATAAGTTTTGTTTTTTTACGAGAAATAATTTTTAAAATAGTATGATTGTTAATAGTAGGTATGTTATGGTAGATATTTAAAAACAAAAAGAACTCTCTGATCTGTTTCCATAAGTATGACAGTCATTAGGTGATTATCTAACTTATTATTAGTTCGAACCCAAGTTTAATATGAACAGCGCAAAATAATGATGATCAGTGTATGTTAAACTCTTTGACCTGAAAGAAGTGCATTGTATTGTATTAACTTATCTGTACTTTATTTAGTTCTCATTAGAAAACAAAGGATTTACAATGGTTAGTGTTGTAGTGAACAGAATATCAAGTCTATAGATTTGACAGTAAACTGTATGTATATATTAGACATTATCTTACCATTGTATAGATCCGGTATAAGAAGAACACTAATAAGCCATCAATCAGAATTTCTTAAATTATGGTTTTTTTTAATCAATATTTGTAAAAGCCAAGCTAGAAACTAATTTCATGTGAATATCCTTGAAATTAACTTCAGTTTCTTTGTATTTTTTCTCTTTAACTTCATGGATAGATATTAGCACATTTCACCTTATCTAAAAGCAAACAATTATTTATATTTAATACATTTTGATCGTTTAAATCTAAACTCTAACAAAATAACAACAGATGGTTAACATAGTAAACATGTCTCTTAATTCAAGGGCTCTTGAATATATTGTTTTGATATTTTATCACATATTTATCACATATTACGAAAATTTGTTATCAATGATCAACAATTGAATGAACGTACAAACATTTAATACAGCTGTTTAGATTCATACATTTCTCATTGCATTGTATATTCTAGGTATATAGTAGTTTCAATAAATCTTATTCTAAAACATCGAAAATTACATGATGTAAATTAAACAAATATCAGTCGTATAAATAAACAGCTAGATTTTTAATGGTAGTCAAGATTATTAGTCAAATAAGGGAATTTCTAATGTTGTGAATTGAGCAGATTTAATGATTATCATAGGATATTGTGAAAATTTTCTAATTTGAAAGCTTATATCACAGACAAATCTTCGTCAGATAACAGTTGAATACACTTTCATTGGAGAGCTAGTTTGTCCTAGTATGGTACTCTTCTGTTGTATGTATCCACAAGCCTACCAGAGCTCTAATCTGGGATCTTTAAATCTCAGAGTAAGCGCTTAACATGCAAACCATTTGAGGTTAACTCTAAGATCTTAAGAATATGGGCATCCAAATCTGAGGATTTTCATAATAGGAAGAAAAAGCTTAGGTTTTCTTGATTTTTTGTTGTTGTCTAACTAAATTCAATTCATGATGGCAACTATTGGGTTTAATGATTAACATTCTTCTGGTAATACAATCTGATTGATGTAACTGATACTGAACTTTTTGAAACTTTATCCATTATGTTTACTTGTAAAATTTCATACGAAGAAAATGTCTTTTCCTTTGGTTCATCTTATTTGTGATATACAGTAAACAATGAGGATCATAACTATGTACAAGTATAATAGCTTTCTTTTAAAAACGTTTGCTCAAATAAAAACAATATTTTTATATTTCGCTCACTTCAGTATAAAAATCGACTTTGTATTTAGAAAAAATAGTGAGATAATTTGGTTAAATCAAACTTTTTTTCTCTTCTTTTGATTACAGGTATCTGGATTTGGATCCTTTTATAAATATGTACAAACTTTACGCAAATTCTGTGAGTTGTTTAATTAATTGCAGATATTTTAGTCATTTTTAGCCTCATAATGTTATTGATGTATTAATGATCCTTTTCTTTTAATATTGAAAGTTCATTTAAGCTTAAAAATGAATATTTTAAAGTTTCAGGGGTGATTTGAGTTTTTCAAACGTCAAAGCCTTTTCAACAAGAACATAAAAATCTAACTTATAGATCTCTTTAATGGCTATCTGAATTCAGTGGTACAGAGAATAATACGTTGACGTTTGAAGCAAGAGATGCTGTGTTCGAGTGCAAATGTGAGCATCTATACCAGGATACATGAACATCTCATCCAATAAGTACTATGTAGGACGAAACGCTTTTCCTAAATAACTTTGTATGTTATTTACAAATCATATTTTGATAGAAAATGAGCAAGGCTGAGTTATCAATAGAATGGATGTTGAATTTAAACGAGAAGTTAGTTGATAACCCACTAGCATCTCACCGAGTTTGCTTTTTTAGGTAGAAAACAATGGATATGAAATAAACTGTTCTGACACTGAGTTCATCACTGAGATTTATATATTTCTGAGCAGTAATAACACTTTTTGGCCTTATGGACTAGGAAAAATATTCTGATCTGTAAATCACTGGAAACCATATAGACGAAATTGCTATCAAATATCACTTCTGAAGTAATTCCATCTAAGAGAATCGGTTAAAGAACTACGGTCTGTAAGATTTTCTAACCATTTTAGAAAAAATTACCATTCTTCTTCATTTATCACTCAAATCTATATTGCATTTTAGCTACATCATGATTACATAACTATCAATGTTCTACAAAATCTAGTACTACCAATAATAAATCAAGAATTGGAAACTAAATCATCTTTGTCAACTGGTAAACAGTGTTTAACAAAATCTATAGAATTGAAATCATTATTTGTTCTTTATTTACTACTTAAAAAATTTGAAAATATGTATGATATCAAAATAAAATCTAAGTAAGTTCATTTAGTATAGTAAACTGTTGATTGCAATTTCATATCAAAATTGTTTAACAATTTTTTTCGCTCAGTGGTCTAGAGGTTAAATGTTCGCAAGCGAGACTGATAGGTCCTGAGTTCGAATCTCATGAGGCGGGATCGTAGATGCGCACTTCTAATGAGTCCAACAATAGGTCAAACTGGCTGTCCAGTGCTTTCAGTTTTTCCTGATAGTTTAGCTTTAATTTACTCATGATATCAACCATTAAAATTATGACTAGGTTCATTTTATGCATGGTAATTAATGCTTAAAAAACATTTATTAAAACCACTTACTGAAACCTAAAATTGACATTGAAAATAGTTGGCAGAGGAAACCAATCTCTGCTCATAAGGCTTATGAATATAAAATAATAAAATATAAACAATTGATCATTGTACAATTATGATTTCATTAAATTTCTTATGAATCAATTGAATCTATACATCACAGTTTTCATATTCTTCTTACAGTAGTGTTAATTTCTAAATAATAAAACAAAAAAACAACAACAACAATTAGATCCAATTTCATCTGCCACATACAATTAGTTATTCTATTTATCTAATGTTTATTGAAAGAGAAAATTGTCTTTGTAATTTTACTCCAACCGTAATAATGATAATAATAAATTTGTTTTATTGAACTGTTTATCAGTCATGTTAAAAACTATCAAGGTTAATAAACTGTTTCTTGTCATCTGTTTATTTAAATGAATTTTAAACAATAAGAATTTTGTTTTATTTTGAAAATTAAATTGTCCATTAAATAGTATAGAATACTGGTTGACGATTAATTATTGATTATTAGTCAATATTTATTTGATTTATTTAGTGAACCAAAGAAATTAATTGATTTCGATTGGTATACATGGTTTCGACCAGTTATTTCATATTGGATACAACAATGTAATTCTCAATTGTTATCTAATTTAGATGGAGATATACAAAATGATCAGGTCAGTTTTATATTATTAAAGTACTTGGTATAATTTTAATAGTTGAGATTATGAGTTAGTTGAAGCTAGATCACCATGCAAAACTTTGAAGTACTGGAAGGGCCTTTTTGTTCTATTGTGGGACTTCTCCGTAGGGCGCATCCATGATCCCGCCTCAAAAGATTCGAAAATTAATTGGATTTATTTATGTGAATACATTTAATGGTTGTTTTTAAATGAAATGATTCATGTCATAAAATTATAGCAATTCTTCTACAATTAAGTTTGTTTACGGTCAATTTTAGTAAAGTCCTTCAGTTAACTTATTCAACAGGTAGTGTTATTCGAACAGTAGCAATTCGTTTATTTCTTTGTATTAATATAATCGCTGTCATGTCTCTATAAATGTGTATGCTCGAACACGCGTGACAGCCTATTCACATATTTCTCACTCTACCTTAAATATTAGTTGCTTAAATATCGCTTGATGAATCATTTACTTTCCCATGTTTATATATATATATGCTTGGGTCTTATCAATTGCTTTCGCTTCTCCCCAACAAGCTTAGACTTTGCCTTGCCTCGCTTGGCCTTGATTAGAGTTGACTGGAAATCCGCTCACATACATTAGTCTATCTGCTGCAATTCCCTCGACTTTTTTATAACTTTATTATGTGTGTTGTTCAATAACAAACTTTAGTCGCCGTTTCTAATTGCCTTCTGAACTCTTACACCGTTGGGGTTTAATTGATAACGGTTATCATGGTGATTGATAAACTAAATGTATGGAACTATCTCGAAGCCAAGCCATTAGAATATATATTACTACAGAATATGAAATAATTTAAACTGACCACTTATTTTTATTAAAAACTTGAAATACACTATTTTATGGCATTTCTTCTTCTAATTATATTTTTTGGCATATTTGGTATATTAAGCAATATATATATATATATCGTTCTTAATTTTAGTAACAATCACACATGTTAACCTTTTATTTGTCATATAAATTGCATGTTTCTTTGAGATATGATTAAATTTCTTTGATCAAGTTCACATAAGAATAAGAGTCGCTTTTGATTTGTCTTTACAGTATCAAGACTTACTGATAAACAGTAAAAATTGTCATTGAATTGTAATTGAATTCTATTTGTAACTTGGTCATAGAAACTTCTTGTACTCAAAAGCATTTAGTATTATGGATACTTAGTTATTCATAAATTAAGACCATAGTTCTCATCATTACAGAATTTTATGAAATATTTTGTTTTATTGTGTTAATTACGATTAATATCTGTATGTATCAGTTAAATGATGATTTTCTACACAAATATAAACATAAAACAAACTGAAATATAAAAAACCCATCAATCATCAATTGAAGTTAAACTACAGCTGAAAAAAAAGATATTACCTATATGTGTGAACGAATGACTACTAGATCGCATAATAAATGTGAATATCATTTGTTGATAACTCCTCTTATTATACATTGACCTGATTTAAAAACTATTCAGGATCATATGTCATCAGTTTCATCTTCTTTCTTAATGTCACGGTGATACAGTTTTATGCTTATAAGGAAAGAAACATTTGACTAAAGTTAGTCAGCATTTTTGATGTAAATTATTAATTGCATAATATTTTTAAGTAACACGATTATGAGTATCATTTTTATCTTACGGAGTAAACTAAAACAATATTGATAATTAAAAGCACTGACCAATCCACATTAATGTGTTTGAAGAAACTAAATATACGTTCGAAGTAGAAAAAAAAGATTAGGATGAAAACATGTTACATCAATGGTTAGAGATACCAAAGCATAGGTGAAAGCAAAAATACAAGAAAAAATTTTGAAAAATTTTAAAAAGGCAAGAATAGTTGATTAAGAGTTTTCACTAACTCATTTACTGTTTACAGTACAATAAGTCAGTCAGTCAGCTACAATGTAGGACCAGGTACATATGTACATCTGTCCAAATTGTCGTACCGCGTTAGCACAGCACGAAGACAGGATTCATAGGAGTAGTTAAGTCAATGGTGGTAATATATAAAAGAAAGACTGCATATAAGGATATAGTGCAGGAATAAAGATTTAGTGCGTAGAAAGAAAGATATGAAGCGATTTTAATCTCTTAGTTTTAGGGAAGACAGAGAGTGTATACACCTACGCCATTAACTCCTAATGGCCATGTTTCGCTGCCGTAAATTAAAACAGAACGGACTGCCGCGCAGTATACTCGTCCTTTTATTGATAGACGGATATCTCGCTTTTGCCATGGGTGACATAAGCTGGCAAAAGCCAAACGAGTTTTTCGAATCCGTGCTGAGATTTCGTCAAACACCAATCCATTAGAGCTGATCACACTTCCAAGATAAGTGAAGTTGTCGACGCGTTCGACTAAAATATTAGTCAACCTAATCTGTAAAATTGGACCACTATACTTAAAGACATCTGGAGCCAATCCATTTGGACCATCTGCTCTTCCTCGTTTTAGACTATCTATAGCCTTTTGAACTTCTTCTAGAGCCGTAGGACCTACTTTAACGTTCCATTCAGGCGGTCTTGGAATGATGAGTAGTTGTAGAGTAGCTGAACTTCTCCCTAAAGTGTTCCGCCCATCGTTCTAAACGTCTGGACTGGGACCAGATGAGAGTAACGTCTTTTTCTAGGATAGTCCCACTTACACTTGACTTTTGGTTTCAGTTTCTTTTACTAGTCTGAAGAGCTGTCTGGTGTTACCTACAGTCATCGCCTTTTCCATCTCTTTTGCTTTCGTTGCCCACCACTGCTCACGGTCGTTCCTTGGACTTTTGCTTAACATAGTTCTGATTTGTCTACGCCCTTCATCGTGTTCAGAGCCTGGTGGGATGGTTTTACGAGAATCCATCAGTGCAATAGACTTGGGAGAAATCCATTGGTTCTTTGTAACCCTGTGGCTTAAATCAATAATAGATGTCACTGCTGTTTCCATAGCTGCTTGTATATTTTTCTAAGCAACATCTGGGTCAGCCTTGTTTTCAGAACTATTTAAGTGTGACCTCGGTTGTTCCTGGAACATACTTTTGGTTTTCTCGATACTCAATTCAGTTCTAATGAGTCTTTTTAATGTGGCTTTTTTGCGTCCAATGAGGCCTAAGCACGTGCGTGCCCGTATTAGGGCTTGGTCGGAGCCCAACCAGGCACTCCAGAATGAGCGACAATCTTCTACAGACCCTCTCCAACGATGACTGATGGCAGTATGGTCTATTTGAGTCCATCGTTGGTTTGGTGTAGGGGGTCGCCATGTTAGACGATGTCTCTCCTTATGCTTAAAATTTGTGTTTGCTTAAAATAAACGATTGTCTGAGCACAGTTGCAGCAGATGATCACCATCATCTGTTCGTTGAGCCGGAATACTAAAATACCCACCTAAATGCCTTTCTGTTTGGTTTAAGCTAACTATCTGGGCATTAAAGTTACCTGATACGAGTACTATGTTTGAACTGTTAACTTTCTGAAGAAGTTCAGATAGCTTTCTGTAAAATTCATCTTTCACTTCATCTGAGCTGCAGTCAGTGGAGCGTAGGCAGAAACGATGAAAAGGCAACGCTGTGTTTCCCTATCCTTCCGAGTTCTTACGAGCCGTTTAGCCGAACAGCACGTCAAGATCTCAACAACGGTCACGACAGTACAATAAGTGAGCATTTACAAAGTCATTGGAATGAGTCATTGTACCGCACTAAATTATCTGTATGGTTAACATATGCGTTATATACATACGGTTTCAGTAATCATTATTCATTTTAAAAAGTTTTACAATTTACATTAAGTAAATATTTGGTTAGTTGTTATCAGTACTTCAATCATCAATAGAGAAAATGTGATTCTGGTCAGCGTTTTTTGGTGAGTTGGTTTTCTCCGGGATGGGGTCGCTAACACCATGCCCGACTCTCCTTCTTTGTCCGGGCTTGGGACTGGCAGTAGCCCTTCTGGGCCTACTGGCGAAGTAAGAGCATATGTGATAGTCAGTTACAAACAAATTTTTATTTTAAATTGATCTTTTTAGTCATACACAATTGGAGTATCATTCTTTTTATTTTTCTATTACAGTAATGAAATTTAATTATTTATTTGTATAAGTTTTAATCTCCCATTTGTTGATGTTAAGGATCTGATTTGAATCACCTTTTTTTGGTTAACGAACATCTTGAGCGAATCGCATCGTTATCAGCATTCTATTATAAGTTTTTAAGTGAAATCGAATAGAGTGTCTGGTGGTGAAATCAACTGAGTATGTTTAGTTCTCTTTAGAATTCATCTTATTACTATGAGGTAAAATGTTCGTGTAGTAAATTATATAAGGGAATTTTTTCATACTTACAGAGACTATGACACTTTTGTATTCATAGTTCACGATTCTCAAAGTGAAAATAGCTTTAACAGTGTAAAATATGTCAGTTAACATGTAAATCGCACAAAATAATGATGAATCTCTTAATACTGTAAGTATGCTATGGATAAAAGGTTCTATCTCCAGTGATATGAGATATGCAATAAGAGGTGGAAGTACGTAGCTTCACAGGATCTGATGAAGTAATGTTTACATATAAATACAGTCATTTGAGAGAAGTTATCCATTAGATAATTAGTAAACATATGTCGACCAAAAAACATGAATTTTTACATTAATGTACAAATGGTTTCTTCTGTTTACTATTTCTGCATATATTTCACCAATTAAAATTTATGGTAATGCAAAGCGTTCGATTAGGTATAGAAGTCAGCGGTTTTGTAAAAAATCTAGATTTAACAGTCTTAAACACAAATCTTGTTGAAAATACATTTTTTAACCAGTTGTTTTGAAACAATCGTTTCTTACACTGCAAAATCCGATTTGGAATTCTGTGAGATTCTTGTTTCATGAGATTTGTAGGCAAATTCCCCTTTCTAGGATAAAAACTAATAACAACAATGTTTTCTAATTAATATTGACAATAATCTATTCAGTTAATGACGCGTATAGCTAACGTAA